GATTTTCATACCGCAATTCTCTAAAGGAAAGTTTTCATTTTAGACAGAGCTTGTTCGGCTGAGTGCATGTCTAACCATTAGAATGTACGTGCGCTCTGCCTTGTCCATAAAAAGGTAGATTTGTCACTCGTTGCCACTTTTTTGCGGAATAATTCTACTCAATATCACATATAAGTAATATACCAGATATCACCAAATCTTCCATCATCTAAAGGACCAGCGGGAATTGTATCGGCTTACAACATCACTTTGTCGACTAAAACAGCTTTCGGCAGAGGAATCAAACTTGTATGGTTCTGTGAACATTTTCATGGCAACTGAAGTATCGTGCGACTTTTCATTTATATAAATAGTTGTCGTTAATAATAAAACGCAGGGGGAACGTGTAGAATATGGACGTAGCTCTACAGGCGCAGGCTTGCGTTGCATGTAGGACGAGCTTCAAGGGCAAATTCAAAAAATTGGTAATCATTATACCATCAGTATCAATTAATCCAACTGGATTTGAATTCAATTGCAAGTGGATTTCTTTATCTCTATCTATTTGTGTTTCCGATGACAATTAAAAATAATCAAACCAAACGTTTAAAATTTACATTATTTAATTCGAGTCCTCGATTCTTGCACTGCCGGCACTTCGCTCTCTGTAAGTCACATTTTAGTTCGAATTATCTACTTTTCACTAAAATTCTGCAGTGTATTTATAGGCGTCATATAGATGACGTGCACTGAGATCGAAAGTTTTTCATAACTCTTGGCTTTGACGACGGTAGGAAGATGGCGCCAAAAAGTATGCTTTCTCTACGCTTCCAAGTGTTATTAATATGTAACAGTATTTCGTATAAGATTTTTTTTGCCCTATTTGTTTTTGGCATAATTTCTTTTGTATTTGTTCGTGTGCCTTGACAAATAGTACACGAAAAAATATTTTCCGAACATAACTTCCATATAGTTTTTGCTAAGATAACAAATGTAGGAATTTTACTTGTTTATGAATTATCGAAAAATTTAATTAAATCAAAGCATATATATGATTTTACGATGTAAACAAACATTTATTTTTTTAAACTAATATGCTGAAAAACAATTGTTAACTTATCGATGCCGATCGATATTTTCGTTCTTGTTGATGCTGCCACACATTTTAGTATTAATGAAAATTTATCTTGAACCTTTAAAAAAATTTGAAAATCACATTATTCTAAATTCTGTCTGAAAAACAACTTTGCATTTAAGCACATATTTAAACACACAAAAATTTTGGAAATCTATTCAGAAATTATTAGAAGCATTAATTTTTCTAAAAATTTTATTTTTTTAATCTAGAGGTTATTTCTTACTAAGCATTACAGATAATATAAGATACTTGTCACACTTTTGGAAGATAATTTAAAAAATTGATTGAAAAATACTTTTCAAGTTTATTTAACAGAAAAAATTATAATAATAATAATGGGAAAAATTTGCCAATAAGTACAACATGGAATTTTTTTCCGAATTGGACATTTTTCAAAGATTTGCATTTTTAAAACGACAAAAATGTAAAATATTTTTAATTTTAGGACTAAACGAATTTTTTGCTTTCGCAGCTTAACACATTACATAACATCAATGCAGTTTCACCTATATGGACTCGAACCTCTTAGATCATTATTTATAATATCCATAAGATCATCTAGATCATCTAATGATGGATGATTTAGTGAAATGCCTTCTATATGCGTTGTGGAACCCTTTAAATAGTTAACGATGTTTTGAATAGCCCTCTTCTTTGTTGTAAGATCTTTTAGATTTTCAACGGGCTTCAAATGTGATTCTACTGTATATTCGTAGCGAGGTCGTTTCGTTATTCTGAAATTTCTTAAATTATGTCCAGGGTCATATACTGGCTCCACTGTCTGTTTGGGTATAACCAGCTCTTTGGTTGTAAAGCCTTTTAAAATTTCTTTAAGTTGAGATATTGTAATTTTTTTTAAAATTTCTTTAAATTGTAATACTAGCATCACTGTCTGTTTGGATATAGTCAGCTCATTCGCAATAAAGTCTGCTACAGCATCTTCGGACTCCAATACTGGCTCCCCGGTCTGTTTGGGCATAGCCAGCCCATTCGTTGTACATTCTTTTAAACTTTCTTCGGGCTCAAATACTGGCTCTACCTTATAACTGGGCACATAGAGTTCCTTTCTGGTAACATCGTTACAGTTATTTTCAGGTTTAAATTTTTTTTGCAACCTCTGTTCGGGCCCAGCATTAACAAAACAGCCACAATACTCACACCGGCTGTTAATTTCATTTGCAATAATCTGTTGTGCTGATTGAAATTTGCTCTCTCTTGGGGCGTAATTATATTCCTGAAATCCTCTTATTATACGCTCTCTTATTAAAACTGGCTGTGGAGGCACATTATTTTGGTTCATTGAAGGGTCTGTTGGATAGATCGAATTAAACGATGGATATTGCACGCCTTGGTGAAGAGAATCTAAATTCATTACTAAGCTCATTTTTTTTACTTATTTTATTTCCTATTATTTTGGCTAGTTTTGACGCTACTATTTATCTCCAAAAGCTTGTTGTCTTTTATGAGTCTTTTTTCGTAATGAGTTTAGAAATGCGTGCAGACCTATTTATACAAATTTATTTTGCCGGGAGTTTCAGTACATTTTTTTTGGGGAAAAAGTATGCATCGCGTGAATAAAATTTCAATTGAATTAAGTTTCTGAGTTCTGAAGGTAATGAAAAATAATTTGTAATGTATTTGAATTTTCAGTTTAAATAATAAATTTCTGAAAAAAAAAACTTAAAAACATTCTCAAAATGAAGTATTTAATTTCCTGTAGATGTCGCCATAATTGAAACGTGTTCTTTTGCTAGAGTGTCAGAATATAAAATTACTTAAAGTAATTTCCCGTAGATGTCGCCATAATAGGAAGTTGTTGCACAATTTGCGCCAGTCAAAAGTTTGAGCAAGCTTCCCCCGCCAGGTGGCGCCAAAGACTCGAATATACACATTTTAAAAGCAAAATAATATTTAAAAAGTGGAAGAACTTTTATTGAACAGACAAATTTCTAGCATCAAATTCTTTGAAATTTGCAATTTAGTTCTTATCCGTATTTTCTAATTTGAAACATATATTTTTCAGAACATTATACTTTATTCTTATAACTTCTGGCGCTTAAAATGAGGAAATTTTCACATCTAGAAAATGAGGAATCACGAGTACTTGCAAGCAAAGTAAAAAATAACAAAAAACGAGAAAATTGCCGTCGAGAAATATAAAACGCCACAGAAAGTAAGGTGAAAGAGGTTTCTACTACAATTTTTTCTTTTTGTATTGGTATTCTTCCTATCAAATTTAATTTAACTTAACAGCGATATTAGTATTTATATTTTAATAAATTATTTTGTTTTTAAATAAATATTTATATTTCTATACACATATATGTCTATTATAATTATAATGGCTTTTATACTTTGCATTTAAGGTTTATTTAAAACAATTTCTTTTCTTCGTCATATTTTACGCAAATGAACATTTTAGTCATTTTAGTCAGTTTTGCTTAAAAATTCCAGAGTCTAATAGGAACTCTCGTCAATTAGTCTTCATTTGGAATATCTTTCTTAATTATATCCATAAGATCAGCAAAATCATCACCATCAAATGTACGTATAGGTGAAAAATGAGGTATGCTGTCTGTATTTCCCATTAAAAATAAATAGATTCTGTCAATTGCTGCTTTCTTACAACTACGACGCTTGTTATAAAACCAATTTTCTACCTGCCTTTCACTTAACCTAGTCTGTTGTGCTAACTCGACTTTGCGCTTACGTTTTAGAAATGGATTTATTTGAAATGCCTTTTCTAAAACCATCACTTTTTCTTTAGAAAGAAATTTTTTAGTTTCCACAGATTTAAAGCGCTTTTGACAAAACCAGTTGCCTATCTGTTCATCCGTTAGTCCAGTGTGTAATGCTAACTTCATCCTACACTCTTTGTCCATATGACGGTCTATCTGAAAGGCGCTCTCTAAAAATGACAGCTGTTCTTTTGTAAAAGGCTCTGTTTTACATTCCATGTTAAAAGGTAATACCGATGATACCTCTTGAAAAGGAGAAGCAAAATTATTATTTAAGTACATGTTAATTTTTGTTCCTCAGCCAGCGCTCTGAGTCTTTTGGTCGGTTGTTTTACTTTGCGTATCTTCCTTCAAAATGATTGAAAGCAATTTTTCAGTTCTATTTATACCGATTTGGCGCTCCTATCACTAATTCTGCTGCACCCTGATTTAAGCGGGTAATAAACTGCTCGCCAGAAAATTTATTGCGGATTTTGCAACTAAAGCTCTTTGTTGTTTGCTAAAATTTTTGTCTCTTAAATTTGTTTCCGAAATGATTGTAATTCAGTTCCATTTCACACTGAACAGTTCATTTTTGTTGTTCATTGATCTTTAATTGCCTATAAATACGGCATAATTTCTCTCTTAATACTTTCGCTCTTATTTTGCTCGATTATTATCAAAATAACTGCAAAGAAAGTGCTGTAGCGACCTCACACGAAGTGGCAACCTTACTTAATGTCAAAATGCAACTCTAAATGTTCGATTCGATTTTGATAGTTATTGAGACGACTCGTGTTTTCACGCAGCCTGGTCATAGAAGTACAATACAATTTTATCAATATTTCTCTATAAATATGACGGAAGACAACGGCACACAGTCACTACAGCCGCCATCAACGATAGCTTAAAGATACTTCCATTCTGGGCTGAAGGACCACAAATTTGGTTTGCACAAATAGAAGCCCACTTTTCCATCGCAGACATATCATCAGACATGAGCAAACTTAACACGTTAATCGCGCGAAATCACATTTACTAGCGTAGATAACGGAGGAGGTGGACAAATACGGTAGCCTCAAAAAGTGCATCATCGATCGGTTCGACGAAATCGAAGAAAAAAATATGCAGAAACTTTTGTCGAAGTGTGACCGACATCCCACACTACTGCTCCGCGAGCTAAGTGCCCTCGCCAAAGACAAGGTGAGTGATGAGTTTCTCAAATTGCTCCGGCTCCAGCGTTTGCCCTCTCACACCTGTGCCATCCCTCAAGCGTCCACATCTGAACTACCCGTACTTGCGAAACTAGCTCACAAAATCACGGAGGTTAGCGATCATAAGGTAATGCCAATGAGGTTAGAGACACAGGTAGAGACGAGCAACTCGTGCAGCTCCATCGCGCGCATTCTAAATCATTCAAAACTCTTCCTGCTCCACGTAATTCAGAAGGAAATGTTGTTTGCAGCGGAATTTGTTGGTTTCACCTGAAATTTTGCAGCGGCGCACCAAATTTTTATGTCCGACAAACTCTAAACAACATTTCCGCATCACGTCACCCTGCAAATGGCACTCCTATTAAAACATATGTCGAACGACGCATGAACCTGTACCTAGGTTTAGGCAAAAACTTTGTGTCTACATTTACTAAAGCCGATGTCTCAGCGCACATTATTGGTTCAGACTTTCCACGTAAATTTAATTTGCTCGGGGATCCAATACGCAACACACTTCACGACCGAACGACGGTAAATGAAGCTAAAGGTTGCTTCATCCACTCTAGCATATCATAAGTCACACTACAATCGGTCCAGCCATTTTTAACCGACCCGCAGCATATCATGTGCTTCAGACAGGGGAACTTGTACATATGGTGTTCAAGGTAAATGGCAGTGGAGGCCGTGTGAGGATTACTGGTTGATCAACGCGATAACAACCCCCGACTAAAACACCCTAACATCTTCTTCTCGGGGATAGACTTACATCGCGCTTACAATCTGAAACCATTCCAGCCTACTGATATTCCGAAAACAGTGATGACAACTTCGTTCGGACTATTTGAATTTCAATTTATGACATTCGGCCTACGCTACACAAACATTTCAGCGACACATTCACTACGTTTTACGTGAAGACATTGAAGACATCAAACGAACACGAAAATCATTTACGCGATATATTCGACCGCTTGAAGATGAACAACTTGCCCATTAACAGTAGCAAATGTCAGTTGGACAAAACAAGAGTCAACTTCGTCGATTACGAGATCACCGAAGAAGGAAATTGTTATACCGAACAGTACCGCCACCTTCTTTTGTGACGTACAAGAAGGTAGACTACGCTCGTTTGTACCAAACAGCCTACGAAAAAAGTCATAACAAAAATTAATAGCGGAACACTACGTGTGTTACCGCACAAAACGAAATAAAACAGAGCTGACATAGAAATCTTAAAACGGCCATAAGATGTCACAAAACGAAATACTGGTGCTCGATACTGCCACTTCTCCTATTAGGCGCACGAACAGCTATCAAAAAAGACCTACTCAAAAGTCAGGCTGAGGTGCTTTTTGGGTGAACAATTGTGAGCACCAGGCGAGTTTTTTAACCTTCGCAAATGTCAGCCAAATGAGGCAGACTTTATTAAGTAGTTACGGCTTCATTTGGACGCTGCGCAACCAATAAAAGCAGCGCTTAATGGAGCTCCAACGATATTCATCCAACCCGCGCACTGAGAATCCGTATTTGTGCGAATAGTTCATGTTCGTATAGCACTGGGAGAGCCATAGGGAGGCCATTCCAAGTTCTAAAAATAAACAATAAATTTTGTAAACTTCTGCAGAATCAAAAAATAGTCAACATGTCTGTTGATCGCATGAAACCTGGATTTTTATAAAAAAAAAAACAGCACAAACTTCAACAGCATTACCACCAAAGAAAATCATCGAAACACTACCGCCTAGAGTTACAAGAGCTGCGTAGCAACTTAATTACAGCTAGCGAGAGAGCTCTGTAGCGATCCCACACTAAGTGGCAACATCTTATTATAGTTATTCCTGCTTGGGTATTTGAGCTTTAATTTTTATATATAATAAAAGGGTTTCTCTTTCAAAATAAATTTTTGAGAAATATAGAAAAGTTGTTTTTAATTAGAACTTAATAATAATCAGAATCTGAATCTTTTATTCATTGAATAGGCACACAGACCACCTTAACATATTCTTTCCTATCCATATTGAGAGATATTATGCGTCAATACATAATTCCTTTCATCTCGTCTATCGGCGCTCTATCAGGCCTGGGTGCGTATGCATCTTCATTTTTTATTGCCAAATTCTTTGTTGATATTATCCATAAGATCGTCAAAATCATCGCTATCTTCTTGACGTAAAGGTGGAAGACTCGGTACGTGGTATGCAGCGGTCTGCAGATCTCGCTAAAAATCAAGCGATATTCATTATTGCCATTTCCCTTGTTTTGTGCTCTTTCTTTCTTACATTTTTGGCGATGGTTGTTAAGCCGGATACTTACCTGACAGTCAGTTAACGCTATCACAAATTCTCTAGTGAAAATTAGTCGAATATGTTTCGCTCGAGGAATTTTTGACTAGGAAAGGCGGATTATCATTCTAATTTGAGATACTTTTTCAATGTTACTTTTCTTAAAATCATTATTTTTACTTTCGACTCTTCTTTTGAAAAACATCTACAAAATTATGTAGTATGATCTTTATATAGAGTTGGCTTGCCTGCTACCGGCACGTGTTTTGAATCAATGCATATTTGGATAAATGTACCGAAATAATATGCACTGCAGCATGTGTTTTGTGTTTCATTATTTTCGAGAAAAACTGAATTTGGTTTTAAAAATCAAAATTAAAATTTTACGCATGAAAAAGAAAAAAGTTTCTTAATTCGTTAACTTTATCTATTTGCCATACCTCGTTATGAGCGGAATATGGTAGATAGAAGAAAAACGAAAGTCGGTTGCAAGTCTGGCGGAGGTAAAATTTTTCTGACAGCAAAATACCGATTTATTTTTTTGTTCAATTTTATTTACTATTTTTTTTTAATTTACTTTTTTGTTTTATTACATCTTATTTGATTTCTTCCTTTTATTTATTTATTTTCAATTTTTTAATATTTTATATCATTTTACTTATTTCGTTTATTTTTAATTTTGAATTTTGCTGAATTTTCATTCTTGTGATTTTTTTTTTTTTTTTTATTTTTTTACTTTTATATTTTTGAGGTATACTTCAGTGTACGCCTTTTGTTTAGCGATAAAATTATTGTTCGCACATTTTGTGATTTTCAAAATAAGCATTGGAATATACTCATACATACGTCTATTACACTAGTGCACAGTAAATGTAGCTTAATAAGACTGAAATCATATGTTTCACAACTTCAATATTATTATTGTGCAGTGTGGAATGTGTTGTGTAGCAGCAAAGGACGTTGATTTTAAGATTTAAAAGTTTCCTCTTACGCGGTCTTTAAATCCTACCATTACAGTTAATATAGTGTCAGAAGTTTTAGAGGTCTTTTGGGGTTACTAAACTGCTTTCAGTTTTCTCTTATCCTTTCGCCTTTCACCTTTTGCCTTTTTATTTGTGTATCTTTTGTTTTGCAGTTGTTTAAGTACAAGTTTTTCTGCTAATCTATATTTGTTAATTACAGGCTTAGTCATTAAAAACTACTCGCAGGATGAAAAGACCTTTGCTAGAGTACACAAGGTTTAGTTAAACATTTTTTTGTGTGCTTGTATTGAAAGAAAGGGTAAAATACTTACTTCTTCCATCCGCTTGAAATATGTGTGCTAAGCTACTTATTTTCATATACTCAAAAACTCTTTAAGTCATTATAGAATTAATTTGTCTTTTGGTCAAATTTCCATGCTAATTATGTGTTTGGCAGTCCAATTGAAAGTAGGGTCTTCTTGGGCTATCTACAAATTACTTTGCTAATGAAATTTCAGGTAAATTTCTTAGAAATTTTGTTTAATCTCTGAAAAGGTGTTGATTAGTTATTTCGTTGAATTTTCTTTAGCAGCACATTACGCTTGTGTACACTGGAAATTTATTTGATATAAGTGATTAAATGGGATACTGTACAAATGCTTAACTGATACACAATCTAATTTTTTTTATTTGTAAATAGTGAGGAAAGAATTCTGCCCGAGGGCACTAATATGATGGAAATTTAATTAAAATCAGATAGATTCGTGATAAAATTATATCAGAACTTTTTTAAAACAATTAAATTCAATTTATTTATATACAGATACTTGCGGTCGCTAAGTCACTAATCACACTTCAAATGAATTGAATTAAATTCTTTTAATCTTACATACATTTCATAGTAAATTTTTCATATTTAATCTTGTGTTGCTAAAATTTATATTAGAAGAAATCTATTTCATATTTTCATAAATTAAAATACTGTTTAATAATTAATGAGACAAAAATCTATTTTTAATATTTAATTTAATTTTTAAAAATAATTTTCTGGTTGTTCTTTAATCTTTCTACTTTATTCGAATTTACTTCATTTTGAAAATCAACTTTTCCGCTCTGGGCATATTTTCAAATTTGCATAAGTAAATTACATGATTAATTTTCCTTTACGGATACGATTAACGAAATATATGTGCAACATAGTAAGTAATTTATAATAGCAGATCTTCATATTCATGTAACTTATATGCTATATTTGTTATATGTATATAGGTACAAAGTGGTAGCGCGAAAAGCAATTATTGTCAAGTAGGAAATATAAAGGAATATATCTGCTAATGATTTCCTTCTGCAATATTTTTTCTTTCTTTCTGTAATTGGCAAAAGCAACTTGCAAACACATATATATTTTTGGTACCAATTTTTGTTCACATATTAATTTACTTTACTTTTGGCAAAAAGATAAGGCAGCTCTTAGACACAGAGCACCGTTGCGTATACGTAACCTGGTCATTAAATTGTGGAAATGCATGTACGTGTATGTAGCTTACTATTTATGCATACATATGTATTAAAGAAACATAAGTGCGTAATATAATTGTACATGTGTTAAAACAATATGTCGATAGAGCAGCTGATTTGTTCTTATGGCTTCCAAAATTACTTTACTCGCTACTTAGAATATATCTGCTAATAAGCTGAACTGCAAGAAGCTGAACTTTGCGTGTGTGTTAATAAAATTTCTTTTTCTCTTTTAATTCGTATAATCAGGTAGTGATACTTCAATGTGTGTGACAAAAATTACATTTTTTTTTAAACAACTCATGCATCTTTCTTGATAAATACAAAGTTTAGTATGTACATTTTCAATCTAAACTATTATGTGTTAATAATATTTGTATACAGCTTTATATATGACATACAAATATATATATATATTATTTTTACTTATTTATTTTTTTTTTCAGAGGGAAAATCTTATGAGAGAGTCTGGAAGTGCACATGTCTGAAAATATATTTCGTTAAATTAAGGTAATCCTCTTAAATTTTTTTGAGTCTTCCTACTATTGAACTATTGAATTTATTATTGAAATATTTATTTACTATATACTCGTAAGTATTCATAATGTTTTGATTTTTTCCAACGTATTTTTTATTTTCTAAAGCCTCGAGACTATTTAATAAATATTAGGGTAGGAGTGAATTCAGCAGGGGAGAATTATACATATTGAAAGCCAGTGGGTATATTCTCCATTTCTATTATGAGCTTAATTTGGAATAAATTAATCTTTTCCTTCTATTCGCTCGGATAGCTGTTAATGGTACATCTCTTCATATTTAATGCCAGTAGGTTGTGCCAAGTCATTAAGCCTCTAAATGTGATGCAGCCTTTTCGAGACCGCATGAGCAGTAAAAAGGTTCATTTTCCATAATAGCTGTTAATAATAATTTGAAAAAAAAAAATTATTTTTAAGCCACAAATAAACTTGCAATTTAGCAACATTCAAACCTCACTTTTAACTTAACGTTTGTCCGTTAGCCATTTATTAACCTTCCATGCCTAATATCAATTACCTTCAATTCTACCAATAAATATTGACTAACTTCTCCGTAAGTGCTTTGATAACTCCTTTGTATAGTGCCACACTCAACTCTGAGCTGCTAGACTCAAATATGATTTTTGGGCCCCAATAAGCTGATAATCGAGGGTCAGAAGACTCAGCACAATGCCTAAAAATCTTTTTCTTCAATTCGGTAGTCTAAGTGCCTATTTGAATGGATTCAAAGTATTTTTCAAGGGCAAGTTCTTAACGCAATGAAGTTTTTGAATGGCAAAGAGTCTTTGTCACCAAATTTTTTCCTATGTAAAAGTGAACTTTTTGACGGATTTGTTGTATTTCTTGGCTAAAGGTATGTTCTTAGCTGTTCAACAAAATGTTCTTATTACGGTAATAAATATAGTAAGTGTATTTTTTTTTCAATAAGAATAAAAATCTTTTAATCATTTTTTAATAAGAAAACCATTCTGTTATTTTACCGAAGTTTCTAATAAAAGTACATGAATAGTTATTTATTAACTTCATTTTTCATTAAGAACTAGGTAGAATGGAAATCTAATAAATTGCGAGGAATAATAATTGAGAAACAACAAGATCAAATTCAAGGATACAAATCTGAGAATTGCCGTTTGATTTAAGAACCTCAGTCTTGGAAATTTTTATCGTAAAGTAGGATACTTTCGATCTCTTATATACAGAATATTTTGAAAAAAAAAAAAAAAAATTGCGAACATTTCCACTAACACAGCAACAGTGCATTCTTAAACTTAGTTCGATATTTGGCGACTCGTGAAAAGTCATCGTCCAAAACTAGTTGTTATTGAGGAAGTTATTGATGCTGTGTGCAACCGGGTAGCTCGACCCATATACAAAAAATCATTCACTATGATCTGTTCCACTATGACCAAACTTTTAAGACAGTCCTGTACTATCAGCAATGAAACAGTCGCCCGGAAGCGAACAGCATTGACCAGCAGGAGAAGAATGGTGTTTCACCAGTACAATGCCAGGCAACACATACCGTTAATGACTCGCCAGAAACTCCGAGGATTTGATTGAGAGGTTCTTATACGCCCATCATTAATCTGAACCATCTATTTCGATCTATGGCAAATGATTTGGCTGGTGAGATATTGGCCTCAAATGAAGTCTACAAGTTATTGCGCAAAACGTTGCATATTTTATATGAATCAGATAATTATGACCATGACAATTCGTGCAAAATCAACGATTTGCTTTTTACCAATCTCGACACTATTTGCACTACAAAATTAAATATTTGTGTTTTATATTATTTTTTATCTTTTTGTACTCTAAAAATTATATACGAGACTCGAATAGACGGCATAATGCTGAGCGCTTTTTACACGAATTTATTTAAATTAAAACAACTTATTTCATTCCAGTGGGAATAATAGTCAAAACTTGGTTGTAAAGATTTGACTTTCTCTTTAAGATAAACAAATATTAATTTAAGGCATAAGCATTTTTTTGCAGAGATTTGCTTTGATGAATCGCTTTTAATAACGCTTCAAGACACACTTTTCCATAAGTGAAGGAGTTAGAGAAATAAAGTAATTACTTTACGCTGCACTACATAAATAAATAAATTAGTGGAAACGAAGGACAGAGCATACATACATACGAGGGTAGCGTATATGATAATAATTTTCATAATTTATTAAAATGAGCCAATTTTAATTTAAAATATTTAAAAAAATATTTATTTTCAGTGCATTAAAGTATTATATAAAGGTAAAAATTTACATAAAAATAAATAACACATACACCAAAAACGGCAGGCAGCAGTAAAATATAAAGCAAAATATAAATATCAAAATTCAGTCAGTTGGAAAATTGGCAAGCGAAAAATGAAGTCATTAATCAAAAACAAAAAAAGAAATATGTATATATGTATGCAAACCACTTTTGAAAAATTAGCTCATTAAGTACAAAAAAATAAATTTTACAACTGCAAAATTACAAAATACATTCATAAATGAGAGTAAACAAATTTATTATTCGTGCAAACTTTGTGAAGCGAAAAATTGATAAAAGTCTCATGAATACGCAACACGTCACCACGAATCAGCCGCGGCAGGCATAATATAAATCGAAAATAGCAGCAACAAAGTGAAATTTCAACAATTTTGCTTATAGCAAACAGACCAGCTTAAGCGATGTCCTTTTTCACTTTATGCTGTTGCACAAAGAAATCTTTGATAATCAGCGTACAAGTTAACAGTAAATAAACTTTGAAATGTCTACTTGTTGCTTAAGAAATAATAAATGTACTTACATACATATATCGTGCGACACAGACCATTATATAAAAATTCTTATGTTCTTATTAAAGTCTTTTGGGCTTAGCTTGAGCTTAAGAGTTTTTCACTGACCGTATAATTTATGGGCATTTGATGCTAAACTACCTTGACAGCGTTGCACAGTGGTAAAGTTATTGAAATATTTTAACAAAATATAATATACAAAAGAAAGCTGCGCAGATAAATTTTATACATATTTAAAAAATATTTCCACTAACTTACAGTCACTGAAAATATTGTAAAAAAAGTGTTGTTGAGATGAAAAAGCCTGTTTTTAAAAAAAATTATATTTGAAAATGTTTTTTACAAAATTAAAAACTACAGAAAACTTAAATTTTCAATAAATTTTAATATATTCATGTAATTTAAAATAAAATTTACGTCTATTTAAAGTTTGCAGCTTGGCATTAGGTCAGGTTGAGTTGAGCTGGTTGAGCCTCTCTGCGCCAAGTAAGCATAGCCTATGTCTGGCGAATGCCGGATACTCAGAGTTTACATGCCCAGTGTCTTCACACATTACCTGCATGTATTGTCCTCAATCGGACCTATATTAAAAGCATGTTAATAGTCCTATCCACAGCCTGTGGTCCGGACTCTTTACAATATTTTACGATTTACAAGTAGTTTTCGCGATTCAGCGCCTATTGGTCTGGCGAGGTAGTACTACTTCTTGCTTTCGCTTCACTTTATTGAATTTACTTGTAGCGCATTTTTACATAATGCGACCAAAGTTGGCATCTTAGCTCCAACTAGACAAATATTAGTTTTCAAGTATTTAAGGTGGAACGGGCAAACGGATTACGCTTAGACCTTACAATATCTGCACTTTTGTAAACCAAAAAATGGATAACCCTAATAAATTATTTACCGAATTTCGAAATTAAATTTATCTCAAACTTTTTACTGGCTTTCAAATTTCGTTAAATTTAATAATTTTATAGTAATAAACTGGTATTGTCAAGGACCACTGCGAATCTAGTATGTCTAGCGATGAAACCATTTTAAGCAGTGGTAATTATTGTATTTATATAGTTCAGAAATAAACTGATATCATGCAATTTTTAAACATTTCAAATTACGTGCTAGTTGCAACCAGAATAATACTTTTTTTACTTTTTAGGAAAACTACGGGTTATAAGATATTCCACATAGTTTTTAAATAATCACTAAAATATAATTTAATACATAATTCCTAAAAAATTATCAAAAATGCAGTTCAACAAATTATCAGTCTTTCGAAATTATATTCGTTTGATAGTAATAAATGTGTTATATTTTTAGCACTCGTAGAACTTTATTCAGAACTTTCTGAGGCTCAACGGTTTATATTTACAACACCAATTTATAAATTTTAAATCAAAATGCTATTAATCAAGCGATTGAGATTTCAAGATTTTTTTTTTATTAATTTTTATTGTCGGTGGACTTACACAAATTGTCAATGAAGTTGTCATTTTTGTTGGCGTCTACTTATTTCTGATGTGTTAATTTTCTACCTGAACGAGCACTGAACGCCAACATAATGTGAGGATTTATTGAGAAAATATTACAAAGCGAATAAAATACTGTTCATAAGTAAGCAAGGCGGTTTCTGGTGCTCGAAGGACGTTTAATAACATCTGCACTTTATCTTTCCCTTTTTCACACGCTTGTCGTAAGATCTCTGCGCTTATTAGTCTTCCTTTACAGCATTTAAAAAAAAGGGATTTTTCTGATCATAGTTTGCGCAGCCCCTGTACCTTTCTTTGAAATCCATAAAACCGGCAGAAAATAAAAGTATTTTGAGCATTGCTTACAACCAATGGTTATACTAATACAATCAACTAAAATAAACTTATAATCTTAGTTCTCCTATTCCAACACGAAGCATGTGTTATAACGACTTTTAATCAAAACTAAGTTCTGTATTAATTTTTCACCTAAAATGTATTTATCACGTAAAATCCAATAACTGCTTTTCCCAAATTATCGAAAATTTTTTAATTAATTTTGAAAAACCACTTTATATTCAAGTAAATGCAATAAAAAGACCAGTATAATTTAATTGTCAGCCAAAGGCAATTGGAGAAATCTTTTTATTTCCTTCTTATAATTTAACTACAATCAAACGACTTACATATTTACCTATCTACAATGTGTTTAGATAGAATGGATATACCGACAAAATAAATTCAATTTAGACTGCGTAGAATATTCTTCTTAACAAACTCGTTTTGCTACTAACACTGCCTAGTGGCATTATTGTTGTTGTTATTTTATTCGGAAGCATAACAACCCAAAAGACTGAGTACATGAAATAAACACTTGTGAATTCACATTCGTGTGTGAGTATACAGATGTGCTTAAGGTGCTTCCGTAGTGGACTCATTTTCGAGATAAATGAAAGCTGTTTGCAGTTGAAATACCAGATGCTAAGAATCTGTAAATGTACATGTACTAAGGTGTTCTTGTTTTCGCAACTAATTTCTTTTAACTTAAAGTGTTTAAGAATATTTTCAATTTTAGTTTATTTTATTTTATATTATTGAATTCTTTTCGTTTTATTTTGTTTTTCTTTTTATTTTATTTAATTTTTTACGTTATAAAATTTACATAAATTCGATTTAACTTAATTTTTTTTTATTTTATTCTATATTTTATAGAGTAAAATACTCGCTTATAATATTATATTTTATTTATTTTTATTTTATTTTCCTTTTTAACATTATTGTATTTAAATTTATTTAATTTCTTTTCATCTATTTTTTATTTTTTTTATTTCATTTAATTTAATATAATATTTATTTAAAATTTTTTTTCTTCTAATTAATTTTTTAATATTGTTTTATTTTATATTATTTGCTTCTTTTATTTATTATTTATTTTATTTCATTCTATTTTGCTTAATATATTATTTTTGCTTATAATTTTACATTTATTATTTTTTTTTGTTTTTTACCTTATTTTACTAATTTTGCTTTAAATTGTTTTACTTTTTGCAATTGGTTTTTTTTAATGAGTTTTCAAATATTAGTTTTAGTTTATGCATTTGATTTAATGTATTTTAGTTTTGTAAACTGCTATTATTTTACTATATTTGTGTACTTTATTTAACATTACTTTATTTTATTTTATATTTTATTTGCTTTTTATTCTTTAAAGTCTTTTATTTTATTTTATTTTAAATTTTTTTATTAGTTCTATTTGTTTTAATTTTTTTAGTTATTTAATTTCTTTTTGTTTTATTTTACTTGTTTTTCTAAATTACATTTTTATTGTTTTTGTTAATTTAAAAAATTGTCTACTTAAGCTAATTTTATTTTGTTTTATTTTTGTCATTTCATTCTCTTTTTTTTTAATTTAATTTGGTTTTACTTTCTTTTTTTATTTATTTTTCTGGATTGTTTTGTTTTTTAAATTTATTTTGTTTTGTCATATTTTGGTTAATATTTAATTTATTTTAATTTATATTGGTTAAAGTTTTACAATTTTTTCTTTTTATTTTCTTACTATATTTTATGTTGTCATCTTAGTTTGAATTGCATTGAAATTTATTCAAAAACGTATACCCCAATGCATCTACTTTCGAATTAATATGTTGGATGGTATTAATTTAAATTAGACTCATTTTTCTCTTTAACAAAAATGTGCGATGCTTACTCATCCCTAGCTAATTCTGAAGTCTAGATAGACCTAATCACATCCTTAGTACATACACATGGATTTAATATATCAGTGTAACACCTTTCGAGTCTCCCCTCCATTTGTCGCCAGCCAAATTTACTTTAAATCTCAAAATGGGATTCCTTGTCATTCGCTGTCATGTGAGCACAAGTGTCACCAGTGAGTTGATTGCCTGACACGGAGTTGAGCTGCTGTTTTGCTTCGTTAGGTTTTAGTCGTCGTTCAACAGGTGGCGAAAAGGTAATTGACTTGCAACAGTGCGAGGGTTGAGAGTGGTTTTTAATTAGTTTGTCAGTTACATTGTGGTTACGTTTTAGTGAGGTGTTTATTTTGATTTATCAAATTGTATGTAAGTATATTTGGCAAAAGGTTGTGGGGTGTTTGTGGTTCGTGGAGCTGTGCAAATCTTAGAGGAAAAGTGAGAATTGAATAAAGAAAATGAGGCGAGTGGAAATGAAATTTATAGAAGATGAGAAATGGTTGTTATATTAACACAGTTGTGTACAGTGAAATTTTGCCTTTAGTACTAGTTAAGGGATTAATATTTCTATTTTTTTTATAAATAAAAGTAATTTATAAAATAAAAAGCAATTATTTTAATTTCATCAAAGTATAATTGGAAATCTGCCTCGCAATTTTAGGTATGCAGAATTTGAAAAATCCTGTAGAGCTATTTGAAGTGAATTTGTTTTAACGCATTGCAATATAATTTTCCTCGCTATAATCAATACTATTATATTTTCGTATATAAAAATAAAATAAGGTTAACACTAACAAATTTTTCTCTATTTTTTACAGTTTAAGCTGCAAGAATTGGGATATTAAAACAAATACAAAAATGGGTAAGTTAATTTGTGGATGTTTTTGAAATAAAATAAATATGGTTTTCATAAACATTTCTAACGCAAAACCTTTATCGGTTACCAAGTCACACTTCACCTATAGGAATAAGCTTTGGTTGTGAAACCATTTAGAACTTTCCTAACAAAAGTTGGTACAATTCTCAAATTTCATCTTTGTCGTAAAATGGCGCCGGCGAGGGAGTCGAATTAATTTTATTTTAATTTTTGTGATTGTCTTAACTATTTGAACTAAGTTTGGAAAGAAAATTAACTCTTTTAATAAAAATATGGCATTTCAAGTTGCAAAAAAAAAAGACATTTTAAATAATACTTTTGTTCAACTTTTTTCGTTCCAATAGAAGATAAATTATTACTGAATTAAGATCACTATGTATTTTTCCGATCGAACACATCATCGGCATCGTTTTTTACGACTTATGAAAATAAAAATTCGTGAAAACGCGCTTAAAAGTTCTGCCCGAGCATTCGAAGTTGCCCGACGCTCGGCCACTAAAACTGCGCCAGCTTTCAAAATCAAATTTTGAAGACACATTCTCCGATATTATTATAACAGATTTACTAGAAATGCATTTTGTAAAGCCTCTAAAGGAGTCTTAAATCGTCTATGATCGCGTAAGCGGTATATACCCCAGGAAAGCAAAAAAATATTGGCATTCTTCCTTGCTAGTGGCTTCCGTGAATGTTAAATTGTCAGAGAGAGTGAACGTCTTAAACGTAGGAGACGTGTCTTTAGTTTTTCACACCATTATTGATTTGATTACGATATTCTCGGTTCAGTGGCCCGGTCGTTAATTTTAGTAGGTGGTTTTTTACCATTGTGAATTGCAATATTCGTAGATGGGATATTCTAATTTTCAAAATGACATCAGCCTACTGGAACCTCGGTGGGAAAGTAATTTACATTATATCAAAAATAGGGTCTCCACAGGCGGCTTGCCTAATACCTTAAGCGTACTTCAAAACAGCACGTTTTTTCGCTTTTGTATATAAACTATAATTTAACGAAGAGTAAATAGATTATGAAGAATGAAGGATTATAATTTGCCTCACTTGTGCAAATTAATTAAATTAATTAGTGGCAGATGTATATTGTCAAAAACAATATGTTGCGAAATTTCCATGCAATATTTCTACTAAGAAAATATACAAAATATACTAATAATAATAATGGTTGAACTTAAATCTGTAGTGAGCCAATGTCTCAATTTTCTACTAACTGATATCTCTCAACATTTAATTAGTACCAAAGGGACTTTCTCGTTAACATTCTATTATAACATTTCTCTTAATACCCCAAATAATGAATTTCCCCATAGAAATAAATACCCTAACTAAAACTAACTAACAGTAAGTAAATGAGTAAGTATTTTTTTGGTACATAAATTGTCAGGATTAAATTTATATGACACATTTGCTATCGCTGCACATCGCTTATCGCCTCTTCGCACACCGAAGTATTTTTCTCATGGGGCTAATTTTCTCAAATTTTACCCACGAATTCCCACTCATGCTGCCATAATTTGTTAATAAAATGCTTGAAACAATTTGTGTTCAAATTAAATGTTCGAAAACTAAAATGTACATGCTGGTCCAGTTATGGGAGCCAAGTATAACCAACGGAAGATATACAACGACAAACATTCATGTAGTTCATTAAATACACCAGTGCGTGTACGCAATTGTTAGGATTTATTTAATATACACTAACAAACATAATGAGGGCGTAGATGTTGATGCATGACTATTCATAACAAAGTGTTGCTAAAATAAATGCTGCTGTGCCAGCAAACAACAACTATAACTTTGCGTTGGCAACGCCTTAAGCCAAAGTGTCTTTTGTGTACGTGAAAGGGAATTTGTCACTATATAAATGTTTGTGTTTGTTTTTGGTAGTGGCATGGAAATTGCAATACATCTGGATCTTAACCAAATGCAAAATTTTATTTAGCACCAAAAACAAAATGTTTTTCTTATTAGATATTATATATAAAAGGCTTTGCCCTGAATGAATGCCAGATCAACCCATAGGAAGATAAAAAGGTTTTTCGGGAATTAGAGCTTGGCATCAATAAATTCGAAAAAAATCGTTTTTTTATATCGATCGGTTTACTCGAACTTTGATGAAAAAGTATATTTTTCCATTACCGTTAATAATACTGTCTTTTCCTGGATCGATCCATTCCTAAGAATCTTATTATCACTTCGATTTTACTTAATACTGGTATGCAGGAAACATACTCAATCCATAGCTAAATAGAATATGTAGAGAAATTTAATTTCCGGAAGTCAAAATATTATTTACGGTTTTATTTCTTCAGTAACTCTTTGCTTAAGTCAATATTTGTCGAACTTTTCTTTTCCGGAAGAGAATCTGAAACCGATTTATTAGAAATAATCCGATTTCTGCTTAAGTTTGTCTGCACAGAAAGCAGCTTAAACGCAAAATTGTAGTGAATTGCCAATCAAAAAAAGAATACTCTAACGGATAAAACATGGAAGGCTCGGGTTCAAATCCTGGTGCCGTACTAACATCCAAAACTCATAAAAATTTTATTTCAATAAAAAAATTAGCACAATTTTCTTATTGTGGTCGCTTTGCGGCAGAAAAGTCCACAACTCCGAGTGTATTTCTGATATGAAAAAAACTACTCATAAAAAAACATTAGCCGCTCGGAGGCGTCTTAGTATAAGTTTTAGGTTCCACCATTTATTGAAAAAACATCACGACACAAAACCATAAATTGGAGGGGGAGTTTGACCAAAAAATCGCATCAACGGGTATAGTGCGCCAATTATATATACATTTAAAACTCGATTTATTTCTTTACCAGAAATAGAGTGCACTTTTTTCATTCGACGCTTCAAAAATTTAAAGTTTGGAAAATAAAAATAAACCAATGGGTGTTCTATGACAAAATCGAGTATGGTCGTCACGTGGCAACGCTTTGCTACAAAAACTGTTCTTAAGTTAAATAAATGTTGTTGTTGTACACTAGCAACCAAAAGTATTCATTTATATGTAAATCGTTGTGACTGCGGAATGTACACAAAAAGAAAATCATACACACATTCCAAGAGACCTACTTTTTACAGGATAATATTATATAAGTTAGTTAGTATGAGAGCATGAAAAACTCTACATACGGTCTGAGCAAATGTTTTCATAGCAAAAAGACGAGGGGAATAACAAAAGTTCGATCAGTTGATCAGAGAAAAAAAAATATTTTTGTATTTATTCGTAATCTTTGTTCTTTTTATCTTCTATACGTAATCGAAATTCATTTCATTTTTTAAGCCTAAAGATCCACTTCAGAAAATAATTTTCAAAATCTTGCTTTTAAGTTTATTAAGTTAATAATTAACCACATTATTTACCAAAACGTTGCTATTAAAGAAGTTTCATTTAAACAAATTTTGATTTTTTGAAAAGAACCAATAATTACAAGGTGATATATCCGGGGAATATGGAGCTGAGCGTATATCTTGGATCCCACAGATCACAATAAAATTACTCGTTTTCAACACTGTGGGATATGTGATGTAAAAAGTAGCTCCGCAAATCTCTTCCCCTTCCTGTTTTCTAACAAATTTTTGAAAACTTTTGGTAAGCACTCTTTGGTGTACCATTTTTCATTTACCGTCTGACCCTTTTCCAATGGCATGACAACTGTGGTTTTAGATTGGGTGAAGTAAACTTACATCATTACGTTTGCTGCTGATTTTTGTTGCTTAGATTTTACAGGTGAGTTTGCTGCTGTTGGGCTCCATCTGGATCGTACTTATAGAACCAATATTCGTCCCCAGTAACGACTTTACTAAAGTTGCTAGACTGACCCATTTTCGATTTTGTTTCAGAAGAATTGAGCAAAATGCCATAGCGCCTCTCTTTGGGCCTCATTTAAGAGTTCTGGTACCCATCGAGCAGATTTCCTAGTGAATCCCAGATGATCACTTAATACGCGCGATACAGCCATGCTGTTCAAGCCCAATTCATTCACAATCAGTTCTTGTATCAATCGTGGGTCTTCGTCAGTTTTGAACTTCACCAGAACTACAGTGAACCTTCTCAGGGCTTTTACTGTTTGGAGGAATGCTCAGTCTGAATCTGCTGCGCCATGTATAATAGTTTTTAAAGATGGTGCAATTGTTCCATCTGCAATGTGGCACTCAATGGATATTTGTATTGGCAATAGATTACGGCGAAACCTGGAAACAATCACATGGCGACTTTCCGTTTTGCGTTCATGGTTGAATTTTGTCTGACCTATCCTCAGCCATCTTGCGTTTTCTCGTCTCCATTTCAGCAGATCGATCTTAAGTTTGAAAGAAGGACTAATAGAGTAGTTTCATAGGATTTGGTATTTTTTGATTTAACAAAATCAAATTGTGAGTCACCAATTGATCGAGTTTTTGGGAATCCCCTCGTATACCACTTTTCATATACTCATATACAATATTTTGCTTGCTGTCTATTTACTTTTTATCCCGCTCTCACTTCATAATCTGAGTGCATATAAATAAACTGCCAAATAGTGTTGTTATGCTTTGTGAGCTCATTATGCAATAATATTTAGCTTTGATTTATGCACCAGTTAATGCTTGGCAGGCAGCATCGATCCATTAGCATCACTTTTCAAGCGCTTACCACATGCGAGTACACTCCTGATTCACCACAATTATCCTCACCCACATTTGCGAAGTCAAGTCAATGCCACCTAAATACGTATATTCATCTCCATCAGTTTTGCAAAAGTATTTATGATTTATTTATATGCTTCATCGTTGATAGCGCAGTTGGCAGCACTTTCGCGCTAATACACCCCCACCAACCCACCTGCTGTCATTCGCCACAGTCAGGCTCCTTTGCTGCTCTTCATGGAATTATTGAGTGATGCACGTTTGCGGTTGCTTTCACTGGCTGTAAACCAATTTAATTTGATGCTATCGTGTGCTCTAAGCACAATTTTGCACAAACTGGCTCTTCAGCCGGTGTATGGACGTTGAGCGTCTTCGTTTTCATACACGAATGCGCGCATTCGCATCTTTGGATCTGTGCTTATGTTTATTATTATGACTACCCGATTTTACAGCTAATGCAATAGACTGTTGGTAAATCATTATAAATTTAATATTTGCAATCAAATTCGAGTAACTTGATTATGTAAGAGTCTGGGTTTAATTTGCATATTTGAGTAGCTGAGTTTGTATTTGGAGAGTTTTGTAGGAAATTAAAGGGAATTTATTGCATTTCACTGAATTTTGAGATTACTCAATTATTAATATTGATTTTAATGATGCGTGAATTATCAAATATTTATTATAACTTAATCTGCTTAAGTTAAATGCAAGTAATAATAATTTTAATGTCTTTCTCATAAAGATGTAGATAGTTTTTCTCAAAAATCACAAAAAGCTTTCAACATCTTTTTTTCTCTCCAATCAGAAATCGCTGTTAACAATCTTAAAGTGAAACATGAGAATAAAATAGTATTAAATCTATGAGGATGGAGCCATGTGTAATTGCCATTCACTTAGGAGCAGCCAGAACTCTTGTTCATTTTCAGTTCACAGGTTCCGATCTTAGACCAATTGACGTAGGTAGCTAAAAAAAAAAAATCAATGGTGGACAAGCTGAAGTAAGTAGGCGAACCTTCCTGTGATCGTGTGTAAGATTTGGGGCCCTGCACTACCCACTTTGGCACTTTTTAATCGCTGTAGCAATTTTTGCCGAGCACCTTCTACAATTTATCGGTCTTGAAGGAGCCCACAGACTTTTCTACACTCGGTCAATAAGTCCTTGTGAAACTTAAGGTTCAAATGAGCAAAAATCCATTATAAGATTTGTGCTGGCCAAGAGATTTCGTTCTCGAGTACTAGCATGGACCTCACTAGATCAGCAGCACTATCACAATTCATATGAGAATGTAGTTCTTCAACACAGCCGTGGGTGTAGGCTCCGACGGTACAGAATGGCGATGCGATCAAAAATTATTTACTGAGCGCCTAGTCATGATGTCAAAATCAGTCTTATCAACTGTAGCTTTAAGCGTGAACAAGTAAAGTATATTTGGCATAAAGTCTGAAGTTGATGAAATTTATTTTAACATGAAATATGCCTGTTAGAGCACCATAATAGGGAAACGAAAAATAACTTGACCTATATGGCTTCAGTCGGTTCGAAAGTCACGCAACTAAATCGATCATATTGGGCTAGATATGACTTCTTCACAAGGGCCACAAATTTGTTGTAGCAACGACTCGCAGCCCCCCCTCTGTAGAGCAAAGATGGCATTCATCAAGCGAGAAAAAGGTTCAACACCAAAAAGCTCCGATTAGAACAGAACCAGTAAATGTTTTCTCTTACACTTGTGGAAAGGAATTTCAAGCTCAAAATCTCCCACTGCTACAAAAACAACTGCGCTCAGCATTGTCGAAAGAAGCGCTGGCATGAGGAATATCGAATAAACAGAAACACCGTCAAACTCACAACGTTGCAAAGGAAGAAAAGATGCAGCGATCCATGAAAGATTTCAAGGTCTGAGATACTCATAAAATAACAGGAAAGTTAATCTGGTGAACGACGTTCTTATCACATTTATCCAGCTGGCATAATGACAAAGACCGTGTAACATCCGTGTGATGTTGATGGAAACAGAGCAACCGTTCCACCATCCGTTTCATTCGCCTAAAGAATGACCAATATGCGTTTGAAGGACAGAGACGGAGACAGAGAACTTTTAAAGTGGAAGCATCGGCTCCTTTACAGAATATGGTCGGCTGGAAGCATTCTCGAAAATTGTAGCCAAACTGTGTTTTGTCCAATCCACAGTAACACGCAGACCACCATCTTTGTCATACCGAGTTTTTGTGAGAATATTTTGTGATGGATTCAAGTCCAAACCGACTCATTACCGTTATTTATGCTCCTTAGTTCGTAAGCAAAGAACAACAAATAAACATAGAAATCTCACTTCTAAATCAACACTTCCGCCTACAAATCTTTTTGCTTTTCATGCGATTCGATTTTCAGCTACGTGCACCGGATGCCAGCTTAGCAGTTTTAATACGACTGAGGGCGTGGGCTGTCATACGTGAAGATGTGCCAACAGTTGATAACAAATTCCAACGTGTACATAAACATGAAAACAACTCAGATGCCTTTGGGCTGAATGGGCGTGTGTGGGTGTTTAATATGCCACAGGTGTCTACCTGCATGTCTGTGGATGATTGGACGTCACCTGAAGACTTTCACGTTCAACAAATTATTGACATTTGTAAAATTGTTTTCAGATAGGTACTGAGTAGAGGTGGAGGGGTGGAGGGGAGATGATAGGGATATTATTTTTCAAAAATACGGCAGCGATGTGCCTTAAATTTGTAATACTCAACGAGCCAAACTTAAGCAATATTATCTAATACTTTTCCATTTCCAGACACATTCCGCATACGTCGTTCATCGTTTTCACGTTTTGGTTCGGTGGGCAAACAGGAGCCACTCATTGTAGTTGAGGAATCACAAATGGTGGAGGAGGATGATCGCGACAGCTCAGGAACTCCATCGAATAAAGCTAGTTTGGATATTGATTCGCCCGTAAATCCATATTTACTCTCACCATGGCGTGATCCACGCGAAGGTCGCAAACATTCGCTGCCCTCACAACAGGTCACCGAGGGTATAACAGCAAGTCAGGTGCGTCGTTTGTCAGAGCGCGGGGGTGAGGGCTCCGGTCCATCGCCTAAGGAGGCTGCGTTCTTAGCCACACTATCACAAGCGCCAGCACCATCTGGTCGACGTCATTCTGTTGTCACCATATCCAAAGTGCCAACAACATTATTTGGACGCTCACGTCGCGAATCGGTTGCCGCTTATCCAGCGGGTAGCAGGTGAGTTGGGGAAGGGGGTTGCTTGTTTGTTGTGTAGTGCTCTAATGCCACTATAATCTAACTGTTCAACCTTTTTTCCATCTCACCAGCCGTGCATTGAACTCTCGTCGCGAAAGCAAAACCTCAACTGGTCCTCCATCCACAGATCCCATTGGCAGTATACATAATCTACAACTGGACATAATGGATGACATTGTACAGTCACGTAAGGCACGCATGAAACTCTGGAATACGAGCAGCGAAAAGGTGTGCGAGGTACAGACATTAGATGAAGTCGGCAGCGGCACACCGCAGCGCTACACAAATCGTCGTTACTCGGAATGTGTTTCGGGTGGCAACACACCAGCACCGAATATGCGACGCGCCTCCGAACATCCAGCCATCATCTCGCCATGTATTTTGCAACCGGGCAGCAATCGTTCTTCCACGAAACGCAAGAAGAGCGGCGGCCTACTAAGCACATCTATTTTCAGCACACTCACCTCGTCAGCCATTGAGATCAACAAATGTGAGGATCCAATACCGACAGTAGTTTTACCACCGACATCGAGTGCTAGCTCCACCGGTGCCACTGCAAAAACAAAAACAACTACTAGCGGCGGTGGCTTAACAGCAACCACTGGCACATCGGCGAGCAGTAGCTCTGCTTCAAATCTGCTCGATCCCAATGCCGGTCGCTCCACGCGCTCCAACAGTTTCGATGTTTCGATATTGAATAATGCCAAACAGCTGGTAAGCAATGCCCAAGACAATAGTTCCGCAGCACTATCCGGTTGGTTTGAGAAACGTCACCAACCGATGGCACGCAAAAAGAGCATACGCAGCAAAAGTACTGCAATGGCATTATCCGAAGATATGTTAAAGCGTCTACAAGCGAAGGATGTGCTACGCGAGAGCAAACCGAAATTAGTGCCGCGTAGTAAGCAGAAAAGTTGGACCGACACCACCAAAGGTACCATAGTCGATGCAACTGTCATCGGTTCGGCAATAGAGGGTTTCCTACGTAAGGGCTCCGTATCAGGCCCATCGGGTAGTACGGGCAGCACGCCGAAGAGTGGTAGCACCAAATCGGGTGGTGGTCTGCTATCAAAGGAATCGGGTAAACGTAGTGGACGCAGCGCACAGAACCAAGCAACAAATGCAGTGCGTTCGACGTTGAATTGGTTCGGCAAAGGGGATGAGGACGACTCGAAGGATACATGCGAAGCGTCACTCTGTTCAACGTTAAAAGATTTATTCGTTAAATAATTAGCAGTGCGACGGCTGTTCAAGTAAGTCAAAGACGTTAAATTTACGGCAAGAGTTGGCTAATTCCATGTGTGATATTTGTTGGGATTGAGAATGGTGGAAAATAGAACATACACGTACGTACATAGATTTATAACTATTATAATGTTTAATTTTGTCTAATAAAAGTATTAAATGCTGACTAATTTTGTATAAAACAATTAACAGACATTTAGAGTCTGAAGTACCTTCCGGTTCCTGTGTATAGCAGAAAGAAAAATAAAGCAAATAACAGTGTATACATACTTATATATGTATCATATAATATGTGAAAATTATATATTTACAGAGTTTAAAAACTTTTAAAATTTAAGTTAGATTAAACGTTAGTATATAAATAAATTAAAAATTAATTAAAATATATACCTTAGAGTTAGATGAAGTCATACAAAAAAAAACATATATTTACATGGTATATATATGTACATATATGGATACAACATGTATTTATGTATAAAAATAGCATTTAAAAATGTATGGGGGATGTATAATATATATATATATATATATATATACCTGCATAACACGTTATCGTAAATATGTTTGCACCATTAAAATACTTTGTTTTTGCACCAAACATTTACGATAATTATTACGTTGAGCATACAACCATAATTCTGAAATTATTCCGAAATTTTTCACTGTTTTTTTTTCGCACACCTTTTAGGTATATTTTTTATTAAATTTCAAATTCTATAATATTGAAAGCACAGTACTGTGGCTTTCTGAATTTCTACCAATTTTCATTCTGATTGGGATTGCAAAGAACGTTCAAAAACGCCAATTAAGCTACTTCTAAATAAAAGTGCGAAGCAAACATACCTACGCATAATCTTTGCTTATATCGAAATCATACTAAGTTTTGTCCACCTGTCGTTAGTCTCTTTGCGTGAAGAAAGTATTATTCATATGTGAATCGAACTTGGTGCCAGTCTTTCATTTCGCCATATAATCCAAAATTTTAACCAAAACGAAAAATAAATACGTTTTTTTTATATAAATCGATTCAATCCCCGTAAAAATATAGTTGCAAGTAAATCGCACAGTAAATATGTTTGCATCATTAAAAGCGATCTAACTTAATAGCTCAGTCACTGGTCCACTGCTCAGTAACTATGAAAACGAGCTAACAAAATTTCATATCCGAGATATGTGGAAAAAAATCAACCTCAAAAATTATATTATAATAGATCTACTATTTTGGCATTAAATTGAAAGCTTTATTTACTAAAATTCAAATTGTACGTCTAATGTCAAATAAGCACCATTTTGCATGTTTACTTTTTTGCAATTTTGAAGGTTATGTCACTATAAAGAAACCAATTCTTCGCAATAGCTGAATGAGAACCTCCCAACCAATCTCTCGGAGCTTCTGGCGAGTTACTACCGATGTTTGTGGTATGGTATTGACGTATCGGTTCCGCGCAGTTGCTCTCTGCAAAGGGACCAAATAGCAGTGAAGCAGATCATAGTAGACGATGCCAAGCCAACTAAACACGCATAAAAAGCGCCCTGCCGGTCAATACTGGCTTTTTATTATCATAAATCACGACTTTCGCTGACTGGAAATTAGGTTCATCCGATCTTTTCCCCGTTAATTCAAGTGAACTTAGTTGTTTTAAGAGAGCTCCAAAGTGTTTTTTGCGCAATGCTTAGAACCTAGTCAATTTAGCCGTTGTTCGCATGACCTGCAGTCTGGACGATTTCCATTATTTTATCGACAATTTCGGCAATTGGTCTTTCACACGGGGGTTTAATAAAACCAAATCGACTAGATCAAAATCAGGCATAATTGACCGTACAGTATCAGCACTTTAAACACTGTACAAGAATATTATCTTTCTAATGCCATTTAATGTAATTTAGTCAAATTTATATAATACGAAATTCTGATAAAGCCATATATAGCAGAATTTACTTTTTACTAGACTAATATGCCATTATGGAAAACACCCGGCTTAAGGTTTCCCCCGTATTCTAAGGGAGGGAAAATTTGAACGCTTCTCGATTTGCCTTGGTCAATTTTGATCAAAAACGGTTCGATTTTTGGCAAATTAAATTGCCAGAATAAGTCAGTCAAAAGTCTACAAAATTATAAAAAAAATAAGTGTTAGATATGTTTTTCCAAATTAGCCATAATTATTGTTTTTTCATATATGTAACAAAACACAGGAAGTACATACATACATGTGTAAAAGTAAACTATTTTAAGTAGCTTTAAAAATAGTTAATAAAAAAGTTAAGAATTGAAAAGTTGTTAACAGAAGATCAAATTGTTTCATTAGCCAAAATTTGGTTAAAAAATTAATTTCCTGGAAATTAAAAATGTGTGTGAATAAATGAAGCGTTATATTTGCTATTCCTTAGATTATTGTACTGTTTAAAATACTTCAGCTCTTACCGATGCTTTTTACTTTAATACCTCTTCTTCTCATTTCATTTTAAGAAATTCACTAAAAAATATGTTTCTGGATGTGAGTTAAATAAAAAAAAATTCCTTTTTTTATTTGTTTTTTATAAAAATACAGTAAGAGGAAATAAATAAAATATATTAATAAAAGTGCGTAAATGATATTTAAAGACAAAAACAAAATCATTAAGTGACCAACAGTGCTCATGGAGAGATAAAATGACTGCAAAATCAATAAACAAATATAAACAAAAACTAAACTTAAAATGCAATAAAATTAAAGTTTATTCAAAACAAATCTTGATATGCAATGAAATGACAAAAGTGCTAGAAATTCCAATTTGTATGTATGTACAACCGTTTGCGAAATTCCATGTTTTCTACATACTTGCATTTTAAAAAGTTTCTTAAATAAATGTTTAAAATAAATAAATTAATACATTTTTCATAGATGTGATGTTTAAATGTTTTTTTTTCTTAATGTAAAGCAAACATTTTGTCTGCAAAATTTTCATACAATATATATATAAAAAACATGTATGTGCATGAGCAGCTAGTAAGGAAAAAACACCTGCTGCTCTGATTATTATGTTGCGGATATTAAAGTTGATGTTGGAATGTATGTATGAGTACTCGTGTGGCACGAGATAAATTAACAAATCATAATTCATTAATAAAAATGATATCTTTAGCTTGTTGTATTATTTGAATCCATTTATAAATATTTATAAAAAACAGAAATTTTATAAATAATAAATTAAATGTTGTTATTGCATTTAGTTCCAACTAAATTGAAGCGAAGCAATGAAAACAGTATAAAAGAATTATCAATAAAAAAATGATAGTTAATTAATGTGTATAACATACACGACTATTTAACGGTAATTTGTTCAAAATATTGACGGCAATTAATTTAATGATATTTAAATTGCTTTACTAAATAAAAGTAAAAAAAAAAACATAGTACACACCTGGAAGTGTCAGATAATAAAAATTACATAAATCAAATAAACGCGCATGAAATCCAATCAATTGCAATACAAAGTTAACTAAATCGTTATGCGCAAATAAGTGGAAAACTTGTTCAAATTCATTAAACTTAAAATAGAAATAAGTGAAAAAAATCTTTTGCCAAAATGAATAATTGAAAACTAAAATAGAAATCATTTCCGAATTAAAAAAATAAACTACCCTCCATATATTCATGAATAAAAAAATTAATTTTGAAAATAATAAAAATATACAAAATATAAAAAGCTATATGCATAAATACAGACCACAAAAATCCTCTACGCTACAAATAGATGTTAATAAATTTTAAAGCAAACAATTATTATTCTAACATATTTACATGTACATAGCGAACAAATTAAATTTTAAATACTTACATTAAAGCGCTATTGCACCCACTTCAACCATATGTACATGGATATGTATATAAATGCAAATACAAACTTGCTGGTCTCAAACAAATCAATAAGGACAATACTTACAATTTATGCTATATATATAAACTGTTACAAGAAATGTATATACGATACTATTTAGAAAAGTATGAACAAATACGGATATATACTAAGAAGTTTAAGAAAAACTTTGAAAACTAACTGTACATACTATCCATTTCCCATTTTCTAAATTTTCAATTTCTCCCTTAATTTTATTTTTTATTTAATTTCACAAAACATCCTTTTCAGCTCAAATTTTCCATAATAATATGATTTATAGTACTACACTGCGTATACGCAACCTAATTATTTACTTTGAAAAAATTTCTATTTTGGTGTTCTATTATTTAAATTTTAATTGAAAAATCCTTGCGGCAGTGGAATGTGCAATCTGTTATTCTATTATTTTTTGAAAAAAAAAAAAAAAATATTAGCATTTCTGTAAAATGAATGTATACTCGTACTTTTACATGGAATTCTAAATGTAACTATTTTGAATGTTGATATGTAACATGCACAAACATGAGCAACACAATATTAAATTATGCAATTTGCAAATATACAATCAATATTTAATATATACTAATAGACAATAGCATAAAATAATATTAAGTAACAGAAATTTATTCGTAGAATAAGGAGAAAAAAATTGTTTCTAAAAATAAGAAAAGAAAAAAAATATATATATAAGTACATATAGGTGTTATATAATGTTGTAACAGAAATAAATATAGATGAAAAACCTTACAAAAACATATTTAAATGCAAAAATATGCAATAACTATGTATTGAGTGTGTAGTGACTAATAATAAAGAAAGCACTTCTTAAAATTAATGTAAATATGGCAAGTAATACATTGAAAACAAAGTATTGCGCAAAAAAAAAAAATAAAAAAAAATAGATATTAAAAACATATTGCGAGTTAAATACAAGTTATTGTGGGCGTGTATTCATAAAACTTATTTATTAAATTTATGCGAATAAAATTTTGCTTTTTGGGGGAAAACGGAAAATACGCATAAATAGTTCATAAAAAAACAAGTTTGTAAATATAGTATATACAAACATAAATCATACATGCTTTCCTTCAATGTGCGTACTTTGAAGGCGATTGAAAAATTGAAATCGAATATAAAATCAATTAAAAATAAATTTAATCAAATTAAAATTTAAGCGTGTAGCTCAATTGAAAATCACAAAAACTACATAAAACTTCAAAATGTTATTAACAAAACTAAGTTTACAAAATATATGTAAAAATTA